GGGGAGGTGAGTGAATCGCCTTAAGGCAGCCCTCAAGGTAGAGGTGTGATCCCTAGGTGAAGCCTATATTAGAGCCCGTAACCTCTCAGCTGCACTGACCACCTCCCAAACGACGATGTTTCCTTCCCTGTCCTGAAAGGCTGGGGTCAGGCTAAGTCTGTGACAAAGCATGAAGAGAAAGACATTTCTGATTAACAATATTTATGGGAAGATGCCATTTTTGTGTGTTTCTCTGTGCAAGAAATGCCATTTGGAAAGTCGGTGTGCATGTCAGTATTTTTTTTTTTTTTTCATTCTGAGAAAAAGCCTGTGGAGTCTGGTGGGGGGAGGGTTTGCAGCTGGCAGGAGCTTTGGCATATGTTGTAACTAAAAAGAGAGGGAATGTGTTGGTGGGACAAGCTACCGGAGAGCTGTCTCGGTGTGCTGCGGTACTAGTAAGTGTTTTAATTGGGTAGGGTTTTTGGAGGACTATTTTGACATCTGCTCGTGTCTTTGCTGATTTTTCTTCACTTAGAGTAGGAAACACAAGCTGTGGATAAAATGACTTTAAAATAATTGGAAGTAAAGATATCTCCCTCAAAGTCGAATTTGAGAGGGACACTTTTTAAGAAGTGGAAAGTAAATTCCACTTCTAGGAATCCATCCTAAAGCACAAGGCTTTATGCCTACAAGTTTCGTGACAATATTATATATAAAAATTTCTGAAAAACTGGAAATAACAGCCAACAGGAGGGGGTTGGTTGTGTTTTGTTTCCGTGAAATGGAACATTTTGTGGCAATTAGTAATGGTCTTTATAAAGTTTTTAATGAAATGGAGCATTTGTATGTTGTAATAATGAGAAAATCAGAAAGAAATATTAAGAATTGTTTTAACTATATTTTTTAAAGTAGGGATCAGGGTGAAGGGTTATGGAAGGAGACATCAAAACATTATCTCCAAACGGAGGGATGAGGGTAACTATAATTTCCTTCTTTGAACGTTTTTGTCGATCCCTTTTTTTCTTTTTCTTTTTTTTTTTTTAGATTTTATTTATTTATTTGACAGAGACAGTGAGAGAGGGATCACAAGCAGGGGGAGTAGGAGAGGGAGAAGCAGGCCCCCCCACACCAAGCAGGGAGCCCAATGCAGGGCTCGATCCCAGGACCCTGGGACCATGACCCGAGCCAAAGGCAGACACTCAACAACTGAGCCACCCAGACGCCCCCCTTTTTTTATTTTTAACAGGCGTATGTGATTTTTATGATATAAAAGGCGAGTGTTATTTTGTGTCAGTGAAAGCTGGCCCCGGAGTGTTCCTATAGCTTCATGCCCTACAGGTACTTGTTCTGAGGTCTGAGCAGTTGGATTTGGGATGTCTTCAGAAATAGTTAGGCTTTTGAGTCAGACTGGGTTCAGAAGTCAGCTCTGCTGCTCACTAGTGGTGTGATTTGGGGCATTTTCTTTGACCTCTCCAAGCCTCATTTTCTCATCCCTCCCATGGAAATGGTCCTATCTTCCTCTTTCCATGGTTGGGATTAAATGAGCTGGCAGCCAGTCATGGGCCAGCTTCCTCCTCCACCAGCACTTCTCACTGCCACCCCACCCCCCACCAGTTTTGAAGGTTTTTGTGGGGTTGGGTTTTTGTTTGGTGGGGGGCAGGTGGGGGAGAGCAGTTAGCCTTTCTTCATTGCTCTTGTTTCCTAGAGCCTTTCAGGGATAAGGCACCATCCGGCCGAGCTGGCCTCCGATTCTCTCCTTGGGAACACTGAGCTTCAGGAAGGCCCTTGAGTCTACGCCAGCCCCTTTGGAAGAGGCCTTGCTGCCGGGAGGGCAGCATTGTCCTATAAGAGGAAGCTCTGCCGACCCAGCTCCTGCCTGGAGCCTGGTGCTTGGGCATTTTGGTTACTAAGGGGACCCTGGCCTGCTAAGTCAGAAAAAAGGGCCAGGTTTTTTCTCTTCTTCAGCCTGCTGCCATTGTTGAAAAAGTAAACACTCCACACAGCTTAACCGGCAAGCCCTCCAGCCAGGAGTGGGAAGAAATCAAAAGCCTGTTCCAGCCCAGGCCATGGAGAGCCCACAAGGGCTGGTCTGTGCTGCTGGGGCCTCACTGGGAATACAGAAACAACGCCTGATTCTGGTCCAGAATCAACATCCCTCTTGCTGGGCCTTTCAGCCTCTGAGGCTTCTCTGCAGTGGCCAAGCCCCCTGCCCCCTTCTGTCTGGGGCCATTTAGAAGGTCAGATGAGGCAGAATAGGCAACTCTGGGGTGCAGTGACCATCCGGGCCTGGAGTCCTTTGCTGAGTTACGGAGTTCCTTGCGGCCCCTTCTCCAGTTCCGTTTCTGGTGTCTCGGCTTTTGAGGTGACAGCCCCTTGGCTGCCGAGAAGGGACCAGCAGGTTTTCGTCTTTAGGCAGTTAGCACTACAGCTTTCAGACTTGCGGGGGCTGATGTGTGGATTGTAAGAGTAATAATCATAGCTACTGTTTATCAATCCTTTGTGCTTAGCACTGTGTGCATGGGGGGTAAGGACAGTGGTCACAGTTATCTTACCACTTTTACAGAAAAAGTAGCCAAATAGTAGCCGCATAACCTGGGGTAAGCCACTTCACCTCTCTGAACCTGTTTCTCATTCCTGGGGCAGGAATGGTGATACTTTGTCTCCAGCTAAGTTGTCAAATCCAAAAGGATCTGTGTGAGCTCTGACGGTGAGAGGAGTGAAAAGGGTGGTTATAGAGGCTGTTTGTAACTTCCTGCCAGCACACTGCTAGGTGTTTAATCTACTGGACTGAAAAACGAGGCAGCAAAGGAGCCCTGGACAGTTGACCATGAGTCTTAATGTTCTCATCTGAAAAGTGGGGATTGTGCTTTGTGAAACACTAGTGATTTGTGTTATTCTCAAGGCTCTTGGCTGATAGCTTTTTACCCTGTAAACAGAGCAGTCGATTAATGTGAGTGTTGGGGTTTGGAGGGCAGGATAAACTTGTAAGGAGGCAATTTTGTCCCTTCTGTGCGGTTCTCAGCCCATAGCGAACACTTAGGAAATGGTGAGTGGATTGAGAGGTTTGTGGGCTAGCCCCTGGTGGCTTGGAAGACTCGGTAGCAAAAGGAGTTTGAGGCTCCTAGGTGTGTTCAGTGGGAGGGACCCAGGATGCTGCCACCTGACCATTTTCAACCATAGGAGGCTTCTAACCAGCTCAGCTCCACCCTCCTGCTGGGAGGAATCTTAAAATGTTTACTTAAGTACCATGTTCTGTCCTAGAGACTGCTGTTTGAGAGAATAAGCATCAACCGGTATTACTGAGTGCTTACCAGGTGCCAATCATTTTGGGTGCTGGTCATCCTGCAGTGGTGAGCCAAACGGATGAGCCCACACCCCAGTAGAGGAAGGCAGGCAGGCAGAGGGGTGCTGGGGCTCAGTGATAAGGGCTCTGTGGAGGTCTCACTGAGGTGCCCGATGACAAGGGGGCTGACGGTGTGGTGCCATGGGAACATAGCTGTGGAGGCGGCCAGTGCTATTACCTCTCCCCCTTACCTCACTTCTCTGAGCCTCCTTTTTCTCCAGGTACATAAAATGAGGGTAATAACATGCACTTTGAAGAGTTTGGTAAGAGTTAAATGAGATAAAGTATAAAACACCAGTAGGCTTTTAGTTTATATTATATTATTATATATTCCGTATTATAATTGTCCATTTCTAGGTTGTTAGCAGACTCTGGCTTTAGCAGCCATAGACGGTTCAGCCCCAACACTAGGCTCTGCAGTTCTCTTGGATGAATTAGGAAAAGGCATTTCCTTCCTCCCACTGCCACCACCCCTGACCTAGGCATGCGGCTTAGCAAATTTCAGCCCCAGCTGGCTGGCTGGGCGTCCTTGGGCATTGCACATCTGCACAGTCATATGCAGTGCCTTAGAGGGCAGCTAATAGATTGATCCCTTATATATGTAAGGTGACCATATGTCCCACTGTATGTCTTTTGCCCTGGCATATTATGTTGTCCTTCATAACCACAGATATTGCAGTTTGGGAACTGGAAGGTCTTTCTAATTAACCGAGGCCAAGTGGGATAAAGACAGCAGTTCTGAAGTTCTTGACTCTAAGGGAATGAGCTCTGATATTTGAGAGAAGAGGGTTGAATGAGTTTGGGAGTGGTGGGTGAGCAGGAGAAAAATGGAGGTGGATTCCAGTAGTGGGTGAATAGCATGATTAGAAATTAAAAACTCAAGGCTACACATAATCTCATACTTCTACAGTCTATGGAGAGTTGCTCCCAGATGGTGGACTTTTCCTTTCTCCGTATTTACCTATCCCTTCCTTCCCGGGCACAGACATGTGGACCCAGTAAGCACGTCTCCCTTACCCTCTCCATCACTAGCCAGTAGAATAATTACAGATGGCCAGAGCCTCTGAGCCTTGACTCACTAACTGGGTTTCTATGGAAAATGGGACCCAACTGAAAGTGTGACCTTCCTACTTAATGTTTAAGGGAAATGTTAACATGTTAACACTAGGCCATACACCATATTCCATACCCAAGCATGACAAGGTCCAAAAGAGAGATGGGCAAGTAGCTTTTGGTAAATGAAAGGGGATGGGTTGAATGTGGGTGTCATAAGGGCCTAGCTGTACATCAAGAGTTCCTGGGGGCCAGAGCTTTAGACTGCAGCTTCTACTGTTTTAAAAAAAAGAAAAGAAAATATAAGAAAAAAATAATGTTGGAGTGTAAAGATCTCTCTTCCTAGCTGTGTGACCTGAGCATGTTAACTTAGCTTCATCTCTGTGAAACCCTTTCCACTCCTGGGACTTGGGGATGACTATAAAGCTTATAGAGTTTTTGTGACAGTTAAAAGGCCTCAGAAAATGTGAACCACCTAGCGTTGGGCCTGCCACAGAATGAGCCTTTGTCAAAGCCTTTGTCACTGTTCTTCCTTATGCCCCTTCCCCAGAGAGGGCCAGTGGAAGTATCTGTGGCCTCATGGTGCTTCAATGATTTTTTTCTCTTGGAAATTTTTTATTTGCAGAAAGTCAGAAACATGGCCCTAGATGATGTCGTGATCCTCAACGTGGACACCAACACCCTGGAAACTCCCTTTGATGACCTCCAGAGCCTCCCAAATGATGTGGTGGGTAATGAACTCTTGAGGTCTGACTCCTGTGAGTTGGGGGAGGGGGCGTGGATGTGATTTTAGAGAAGGGGAAGGAGAGGAGACTGCTGTGGTGGTTTCTATCTCTGCTGTCTCTGCCTCCTTTGTCTCAGTGGAGAAAGTTGGAGGCTGGTTCATTTCTTTAGTCTTGCTTCGCTCTGATAACTTGCATCTTGAGGACTGTGAAGCAATCCCCAGGTCTCTTCAGTTCCTCTTTCTGTGGGAGCCGGGGAGTCTGGGGGTCTTGCTGTCCCTCTCCAGCACATTGCCATGTCCAGAGAATCAGACAGCTTCCCCTGGGCAACCCCACTGAAGGGGGACCAGAGGGCTTTCCATGTGAGTGACATGGGGCACTTCAAGTCTACATTTCTCTCCTGGACCATCATCAAGCAGCCGTTTTTCCATGTAGCAGGGTATCTGCTGACAGTGCTCTGTGGTTCCATGTCCCATAAATCTTTGTTACCTTAGGTCTAGCCAGATAGCGAGCTCACTTTAGCAAAAGCAACTGGCTGCCGCATTTGCCACACTAACACATGGCCACACACTAGTCTCAATGTTGCTACTCGAGCAGCCTCATGGGCAGCCGTTTGAAGTAGACCCAGTCTCCCCCTTGTCCATATGAATGAGGAGGTTTGGGACTCCCTGGGAAATACGGTTTTGATGTTTCTGGTTTGACCTCCACGGCTCTGTCTGCTAGAAGATCTATAAAGTTATTCTGGCTTCCAGACTGAAAGGAGTAGATGTTCCTGGCCACGTGTGCTGTCATGGAATTGGGTTTGTGTCGCTAGGTTTATGTCATGGGAGGGGGAGCTCCATTATTGCAAGGAGTCCCAACGGCCCCATGGGGTTAGCTATCTGGAAGAGATTGCTGTTGATGAATGGCTTGCAACATGGTTTCAAACTCCTCCACTCTTAACTCAGTATAAGATTTGGGGGAGTCATTTGTGCAATATAAAAATGTTCCATTTGTAGCCTAATTAAACAATGGCTGCCATTAACTGACTTCCTCTGAGCTGAGCACTGTGCTAAGAGCTCATTATTGGCCTCTCATTTCCTCTTCACACTGCTCTGAGGAAGGTATTTTCCTTATTCCCACTTTACTCACCGAGCTAGAAAGAGGAGGAGCCAGGAGGTGAACCCAACTCCCTCACTCCTGAGAGCCACGGGGCCCCCATTGCCTCTCTAAGGCCTGCTGCATTCAGGGATCGCATTCAGTTAGCATCATAGCTCAATGGAGGAGGTGTTATCTCTCCTTTTCACAGGGGAAAAGAGCCTCAGAGAGCACATGCCTTGCCATAGGTCATATGGCTGGCTGGGGCGGAGCTGAGATTCAACACCCCCAAAGCCCACGCTGCCTCCTCTCCTTATATACAGCCCCCCTTCTACAGCAGAGAGATGGCAGAAGCAGGAAAAATGAAAGCAACAGACACTGTTAGGTTTGCTCTTCATGTCTGGACAGTATGGGCTTGGGATCTTAGATCTTCCTGACCATAGTTTGAGTTCTGTTGGTCCAAAGAATATGTGGTTTCCACCCTGGTTCCCTTTCAGTGGAAGAGCTTTTCCTTTAAGCCATGGGTGCCAGAGGTATGGACCTTGCAGCTCCTGAGTGAATATGGTAAGTGAGCCTAGGAATGGCCAGGAGCCCTGGGACAGCCCAGACTGAGTGACTGGTGGTTAAGAAACCATGTAGTAGGATGGACTGGTCCCATCTGCAGTGCTCTGACCCAGTGCTGGGCATTAAGCAGCAAAGATAAAACAGATCTAGTGCTTTCTTTCAAAGAGGAAAGTATGGGAAAAAAGATATGTAAATTACATCTATATCACGATATAGCATAATAGGGGCCACAAGGGAAATAGGAATCAGGCACAGAAGGGCTCCGGGGATGACAAAATTTGGGAGACAGGTAATAGAGGCTTCCTGAAGGTGGCACATTCCAAGATTGTTTGTTTGTTTAGAGAGCACACATCTGAGCACGTGTGGGCGAGATCGTACACAAGTGGGTGGGGGAGGAGCAGAGAAGAAGGAGAGAGAAAATTTTAAGCAGGCTGCATACACAGCACGGAGCCTGATGTGGGACTCAGTCTCTACCCTGAGATCCTGACCTGAGCCAAAATCAAGTCAGATGCTTAACCGACCAAGCCACCCAGGTGTCCCCCCTCAAGATGCTTTTTAAATGATCAGCGAAGTGGTCTCAGGGAACCAAAGGAATGGGAGCAAGTTATTTTTTTGTCTCTGAGCTCAGTCTCCCATCTTGGAAGGAGGAGTATGAGCCCTGTAGTTAGGATTGCTGTAGCAAATAAATGAGATGGTTATGTTCTTCAAATGCTTGGGACACTGTTCACACATTGTCAGTGTTCAATAAAAGGTACCTGCATTTGTTTTTCATAAAATTGTTAGTAGTTACAGCCAGAGTTAGAGGACAGTTGGTTCCTTAACAGTCCTCAGCCTACATGAAAAGGTCCTCTTCATTTGCAAGTCGGTTTGTGGCAGGGTTGAGAATGTTCTACAATGATGTTCCAGCATGGGGCTCCAGACCCATTTAAGACCCCAAAGCTATAGTAGTGGAGAGGGAATGTGGTCTGTAAGGTATTTGTGTTTCAGTGGAACACACAGGTATGATTCTATAAGGCTATGTGAACTATCAAATCCTTGAGAGAAGAAATCACATTCTGTGCTTCTCTGTGTCCCCTGCATTCAGCACAGGTCCAGGTACTTTTAGGGTATCAGCATATCCACAGTTGACCTCACAATTTCCCCTTTTGTCAGAGCAGCCTGTTGACAGCATCTGACAGATTCTGCTTCTTAAACTATTTGTCAAATCCCCATCTCTCCCTACACCACCTAATCCAAGCTCTTATTTCTCTCCTGTGCTATTATCAGCAGCCTCCGAACTTGGTCTTCAGAATCCAGCCCTTCCTCCTCTTGCACCAGAGCGACCTTTCCAAAAATAAATCTAACTGTATTTCCCTTTTAAAACCACTCCATCAATGAATATAATTAAAAAACTAAACAAAACAAAACTTTGAAAGATAAAATATCCTCCCCGAACTTCCCAGTGCCTATAGCTTAGAGGCAAATTCCTTTTGTTGGCTTTGAAATCCGACAGACATGTGTTTAAATCCTGGCTTCTTCACTTACTAGCCGTGTGATCTCGGTCAAAACTCCTTAAGCTCTCTGAGCCTTCGTTTCCTAATAGGTTGTTGTGGGAATTGAATGTGATGTATATAATATATGTAAAACATATATCCTACGTGTATGATAGATGGTAGTTAGTGGTAATGATTTATGGGTGCAAATGATGATGATCATGGCATTCAGGGTCCTCCTTCAGGTTCTGACCCTCCTGTATTTTTCCATAGCTTTAACTCACTCCCCTCCCAGCTCCAAACCCTGTATTATAGGTATTTGGAACTGTTAACTAGTTCTCCAAACCTCACAAGTTATTTTATAACTTCAAACTTTGCATACACAGTTTCTCCCCCCCCCCCCCCCCCCCGCCACCCAATGTCCTATCTCACCTGTCAGTCTCTTACTCATTCTTCAAGACTAACTCTAAATGTGAGGCTATAAAAACCTTGCCCAGGGCACCTGGCTGGCTCAGTCAGTAGAGCATGTGACTCTTAATCTCAGGGTCATGAGTTCCAGCCTCAGGTTGGGTGTGGAGCCTACTTTAAAAAAAAAAAAAAAAGTAAATAAATAAATAGTAAAAACCTTCCCTGACCTCTCCAAGTAATTTGACTGTATCTTTCTCTATGTCTTCAGTGCTCCTTGTATTGACTGTGTTAATTATACTTGTCACCCAGCAATATAATTTATTACACATTTCTGGCTTTACCTTTTAAAATTGTCAGTTCTCTGAGGGCAGTAATTAAGTTTTATTCATCTTTGCTTCACAGAGATGTAGCAGCCACTGAATAGATAGATGGAAGGGTGGAAGGGACATATGGATTGGGTTATTTTGGTAGATGAAATCTTGCAAAACATGGCACCCATGCTGGAAATTTTATTAAAAGAGGCCTTTGTTCTGCTTCTAGCCATGATGGAATAATTGGAACTGGCTTTATCCTCCCACCATTAACAACTAGAACTCTGGACAAATATAAAAACAACAGTTTTCACATGTTAGACAACAGGCAGTTCAGGACATTGAATGGAAACAAGTGAAGGGAGGCCCACCATCTCCCCTGGCTTTTTGCGTTGAGACATTTCTGGACCACATTTCTGGTGCCACAAGGCGGGGGGAGTCCCCAGCAAAGCGCAACAGTCTTGCTGAGTTGAAGGGTCAGAGATCTGAGGGAGAGGTGGTTTACATTTGTGGGTCAAAGTACCAGACTGGAAGCCACTCATCAAAAGAGCTCCAGAAATCGGAATCAGGTCCTCTTGACTAATGTGCTGAAGACTAGGCCTGCCCATGTGTAGGGTGGAGCTCACACAGAGTGGGAGACATTCAAATTCTGACCAACCAGAGTAAGGAGATCTTGTTGATCACTTGGAGCAATTGTTAGAGACCACAGGAGGGCATGCCTTGGTAGTACTCTGAGTTAGCTCTAGAGTAAAGATAATTTTAGCCTTGCCCTCACAAAGCTTAACAGCAAGCTTTGAGGAGCTTAAGTGAGGGCTTTGGAGATGCTGGCAACATGCTGGGGTGTTGTTGTTGTTTAATACCAGTTACTGGTATTGGGCAAGAATTCATCAAGCTGAACACCAATGTTATGTGTACTTTATGTTTTTAATCTTCAATAAAAGTTTTAAGCAAAACTATTTCTTTAAAAAGAAAAGGCCTGATATGCAAGAAATTCAACTTTCTGTCAAAATTCAACCCTCTTTAAAAGAAGACAAATAGAGGTGCCTGGCTGACTCAGTCAGTGGAGCATGTGACTCTCAAACGGGGCTGTGAGTTTGAGCCCCACATTGGGTCTGGAAATCACTTTAAAAAATTAAAAAATCTTATAAAAAAGACAATAAAATCCACACCCAA